TTTTTTTTTTTTTTTTTTTTTTTTTTTTTTTTTTTTACCTAAGCTTCAGTGAGTGAAAAAAGAAAATTCACCCGGAGAGAAGTATGTTCAAATTTCTTACAGGCAGAACTACTTGTGTTACCACACAATTGTTTCCACTCCCCCCCTTGGCTCTTCCCCTGGCCAGAAGCCACAACTGCTTCTAAAGTAGGACCACAAGGAAGACACCCAGAGACCCTGGCGCGTACAACTAGGAAACGCCACCAACAGCGAAGCTTCAAAATTAGAGCAGGTCAAATCCCTCACCGAATTCATAGGTTTGCTTTTCAGGCTCAGACCACCTTAGGAAGAGTTTGGGATTCCTTCCCTCCGCAGAGAAGAGCGGGTTTTCTCTCTCTGTTGCAAACACCGCCTGATCCAAGTCTCTCCGAAGAACTGGTGGCAGGAGCAAGCGTTTGGGGCTCGCGCCTGTGGCTGCTCTGTAGCGCCGACCTCCTCGCTCTCTCTATTCAGATATACAGAAGCAGGCTTATTTATTTATATATTTATTTATGCTAATTCGCCCTGTAGTGCTCGCAACCTGTGGACTTGAGCTGTGACTGGTGCGGCGAGGAGGGAGATCTGGTGGGCACGCGCTCCGGGGCCAGACCGGGTGGCGCCACGTCGCAGTCTTGAGAGGCAAGTCCCCCCGTTCCGGCTCCTCCGGCGGGGTCCGGACTCACCCACGTCCTGGGAAGGAAACCATGACCCTGCCCTTCAGCCCCGCGCCTTCCCGCCCCCCTTTCGCTCCCATCCTTAATTGACGAGCCAGTGACTATTGGCTGAAGTTCCCCAGCGATTTGCATGAACAGAGAGGGAGTGTCTTCTGCCGCCCTCCCGTCAGGAGCGCGCTGACTGCAGCCTCCCTGGGAATGCGCGGCCGAGGGAATGCGCGCAGCTCGCGGGCCCTGGCAGTGAGCTGGCGCCCGGCGACCTGGCACCCGCGCCTGGATATGGGGCGTCTAAGTCGTCCCAGGAGCAGCACCAGCCACAGAAGCCTGCCGGTAAGGGTTGGGGTCCAGACAAGTTGCGGAGCTGTGAGGCAGTTCCTACTCCTTGACGGTTTTTCGAACCTTTTACCTTAATCCAAACTTCACGGGAAGGTTGGGGGAGGGAAAGGGAGTTTGGGATAAGGTGTCTTCATTTTAGCAAGGAATCGGCTAGTCCTTGGGTCGGGAGAGGAAGTTTCTGAAATAGGAATGTAGGCAGATGAGGTGGGGGGAGGGGGTTATCGGCTTGAGACACAGGGGTGCGGAGATTATGTCCTGCTGCCGGCACCTGCTAGCACTGGCCGCTGTAATTGACAAATTGTTTTTGCGTAAGCATTTTCCGCCTTTCCTACTCTTCCCTTAGAGGAGGAGGATTAGTGAGGGCTTAATAGCAGGTGGAGATCCAGGTCCTTTCGGTTTGATAGATGAGAGCTAAAATGAAAATCACTTCTCTGACCCAAAGTGTTTATTTAATGGTGGGGGGGGGGGGGGTCCGAAGGAAACGTGTCACGATGTTTCCCGTATTATTATTACTGATATTGTTGTTGGCAGCGGTGGTTTCACAAAAAGGGATGTAGCACATTTCGCGTTCCGGGTACCTTAGTGGTAGAAACATTTCAATGGGAAATAAATTGATGAATCGCCCATCATCGCTCATTCCTCTCCACTACCAACCTTCTCCCTCTCCATAGCCTACCCCGGTGGTTTCCCTGCGGCGTTGCGCAGTCCCTGAGCGGAGTCCTCTCCACTCGGCCGCGTGTTTCCAGGGATGCTTTATGGCTTGGGATTCCGATTATTAACTCAATGAGGGTGCTGATGGGGAGCAGGGGAAAGGGGGGGGGTTGCAGAAACTGAACAGAAACATTAAGTTTTGGCGACAATGTTGCCCCAAAGATCTCCTTTACAGCAAGTTTCCTCTCCATCCCTCTCCGACTAGAGGGTTTGCCTTTGGGAACGGGGATGGGGGCAAATATGACCCCGTGACACTGGTTTCTGACTCCAATCTCCGTGTTCCCGCGTGTGTGTAACGAGCCTTCTCCCCTCCCCCCACTTTCAGCATCTCTTTCTGTTTTTCCTCTTCGTGGGACCCTTCAACTGCCTCGCAAGTTACAGCCGGGCCACGGAGCTTCTGTACAGCCTGAACGAGGGACTGCCGGCGGGGGTGCTCATCGGCAGCCTGGCCGAGGACCTGCGGCTGGTACCCCGAGCCGCCGGGAGGCAGAACCAGCTGCCGCAGCTGCCTGAGCGCACCCTGGCTGAGCGGAGCCCCCCTCTCTCCTTCAGCCTGGCTTCCCGGGGACTGAGTGGCCAGTACGTGACCCTAGACAACCGCTCCGGGGAGCTGCACACTTCTGACCAGGAGATTGACCGGGAGGCCCTGTGTCTAGAAGGAGGTGGAGGAGGTGCCTGGGGCGGCAGCATTTCCATCTCCTCCTCCCCTTCCTCTGACTCTTGTCTTTTGCTTCTGGACGTACTGGTCCTGCCTCAGGAGTACTTTCGGTTTGTGAAAGTGAAAATCGCAATCCGGGACATTAATGACAATGCCCCACAGTTCCCCGTTTCCCAAATCTCAGTTTGGGTGCCAGAAAATGCACCTGTAAACACCCGGCTGGCCATAGAGCACCCTGCCATGGACCCAGATATAGGCACGAATGGGGTGCAGACCTACCGTTTGCTGGACTACCATCGCATGTTCACCCTGGATGTGGAGGAGAATGAGAATGGGGAGCGCACTCCCTATCTAATTGTCATGGGACTACTGGACAGGGAGACCCAGGACCAGTATGTGAGCATCATCATAGCAGAGGATGGTGGGTCCCCACCACTGCTGGGCAGCGCCACCCTCACCATTGGCATAACTGACATTAATGACAATTGCCCTCTCTTCGCAGACTCACAAATCAATGTCACTGTGTTTGGGAATGCTACAGTGGGCACACCGGTTGCAGCTGTCCAGGCTGTGGATAGAGACTTGGGAACCAATGCTCAGATCACTTACTCATACAGCCAGAAAGTTCCACAGGCATCCAAGGATTTATTCCATCTGGATGAAACCACCGGAGTCATTAAACTTTTCAGTAAGATCGGGGGGAGTGTTCTGCAAACGCACAAGCTCACCATCCTTGCCAACGGGCCAGGCTGCATCCCCGCTGTGACCACGGCCCTGGTGACCATTATCAAAGTCATTTTCAGACCACCTGAAATTGTGCCTCGTTATATAGCAAATGAGGTGGATGGTATTGTTTACCTGAAAGAACTGGAGCCTATTAACACTCCAATTGCATTCTTCACCATAAGAGATCCAGAAGGTAAATACAAGGTGAACTGCTACCTGGACGGTGAAGGACCATTTCGGTTATCACCTTACAAACCATACAGTAATGAATATTTGCTGGAAACCACAAAACTTATGGACTATGAGCTACAGCAGTTCTACGAAATAGCTGTGGTGGCCTGGAACTCTGAGGGATTTCATGTCAAAAAAATTATTAAAGTGCAACTTTTAGATGACAATGACAATGCCCCTATTTTCCTGCAACCCTTGCTGGAACTAACCATTGAAGAAAACAACGCACCCAATGCCTTTTTGACTAAGCTATATGCTACAGATGCTGACAGTGGAGAGAGAGGCCAGGTTTCCTATTTTCTGGGACCTGATGCCCCATCGTATTTTTCCTTAGACAGTGTCACAGGAATTCTGACAGTTTCTACTCAGCTGGACCGAGAAGAGAAAGAAAAGTACAGGTACACAGTCAGAGCTGTTGACTCTGGGAAGCCACCCAGAGAATCAGTAGCCACTGTGGCTCTCACGGTGTTGGATAAAAATGACAACAGCCCTAGGTTCATCAACAAGGACTTCAGCTTTTTTGTGCCAGAAAACTTTCCAGGATATGGTGAAATTGGGGTAATTAGTGTAACAGATGCTGATGCTGGACGAAATGGATGGGTCGCCCTCTCGGTGGTGAACCAGAGTGATATTTTTGTCATAGACACAGGAAAGGGCATGCTGAGAGCCAAAGTCTCTTTGGACAGAGAGCAGCAGAGCTCCTATACTTTGTGGGTCGAAGCTGTTGACGGGGGCGAGCCTGCCCTCTCTTCAACTGCAAAAATCACAATTCTCCTTCTAGATATCAATGACAACCCTCCTCTTGTTCTGTTCCCTCAATCTAACATGTCCTACCTGTTGGTACTGCCTTCTACTCTGCCCGGCTCCCCAGTCACAGAGGTCTATGCTGTTGACAAAGACACGGGCATGAACGCTGTCATAGCTTACAGCATCATAGGAAGAAGAGGTCCTAGGCCCGAGTCCTTTAGGATTGACCCCAAAACTGGCAACATTACTTTGGAAGAGGCATTGCTGCAGACAGATTATGGACTCCATCGTTTACTGGTGAAAGTGAGCGATCATGGTTATCCCGAACCTCTCCACTCCACGGTTATGGTGAATCTATTTGTCAACGACACTGTCAGTAACGAGAGCTACATTGAGAGTCTTTTAAGAAAGGAACCAGAAATTAACATAGAGGAGAAAGAACCACAGATCTCCATAGAACCAACTCACAGGAAAGTCGAGTCTGTGTCCTGTGTGCCTACCTTAGTAGCTCTGTCTGTAATAAGCTTGGGTTCTATCACACTTGTAACAGGGATGGGCATATACATCTGTTTAAGGAGAGGGAAAAAGCATCACAGGGAAGACGAAAATTTGGAAGTACAAATTCCACTCAAAGGAAAAATCGACTTGCATATGAGAGAGAGGAAACCAGTGGCTATTTCTAATATTTGACATTTCATTGTGGAATAACCCAGAGATGTTTTCACTGACTTGGGGTAGTCTCATCACCTAAACAAGAGTGTGTAGATGGCAGTTCCAATGGAGGACAACTAATTTATAACTTGTACTATATTGTAAATAAGCTGTTTACAGGTTTTTAAATTCAAAATCAGAGGTTATAAAATGTGTACAGCATTTTCTAATGAAAATTAGTACTAACAGCTATAGAGAACTGTTATAAAAAAAAAAAAAAGCTTGGACATGATTTGCAGCTTTCATTCACCAAGCAGATTGGTAGAACCTGGGAATAAGGTAAGAAAATGGTACATTGCATTTTTTTTGTCTAAAAAGTCCTTTAGCCACAAGAGGGCATCAACTACTCCTTTGCAGGGAACAGTTTTGAGGTATTGTACATGACAGTTGTTGTACATGAAATTAATGAAAGAGTATATTTTAAATATATTGTTTTTAACATTTAAGAAATATGACATTGAAATAAATTGAATTTCACTGCACTTAAATGTATGATAAGAAAGAAAAGAAATGCATTTGTAAACAGAATGTTTATTACCTCACAAGTACATCTTGTATAGTTTGAAAGAGAAGGCATTAACAAAGAAGCGTAATTTCTCTTTAGCAAGGGTGAAAACATGGCCACGTGTTAAGGATTTGACCTGCTGAAGAGTATTTCACTTTCCATGTACTCAGATTGCTTTCTGTTTGCTTTACCACTGCACTTGCTATTACTACAGGGGAAATGTATATATTCTCCCTTCCAAACATTGTAACTGGAAATTGTGTCCAAGGAAAACAGCCAGGAGCAAAGAAATGTTTCAATCTTTAGTTGCTTTGTAGGTGTTCACGACATTTTGGTGCTTTGACAACTTGTCAGGTATACTTTATGCTTGGGTTATATATATTAGGTTTTTATGTTCTTGGACTCATTTATCACATGAGTAAGTAAAAATCATATTAAAACGGAATTATTCTAGATGCTAGTGAGCACTACTGGTTGTTTTAGTTGGGCCCCTTATATAAAAGTTATACTTCTTTTTTTGTTGTCGTTTAGGTTTGTTGGCCACCATTTCTGGCTTCCTTCCTTTGGCTTTGGATTAGGTCCAAGAGTTTATTTGTAAGCCCAGCAGCAGATTGCTTTGATAACTTAGCTTTTACTGAATCCTTTGCAATGAAGCAGGCTGGTTCCTCGGTGATTGATCTCTTTCACTTCATTGTGTGAGCTGGGAATTTTATTTTATAGGAGAGCTATAGTAAAATATCTGTGTAAACAAGGAATGTGTTAGCTTAAGCTGGACCATTCTACTTTTTGGCATCATGTGTCTGTACTGTACCAAACGTGTTTATATGTCTGCAAATTAAAGGTATATATTTTCATAATTTCTTTCTCATTTTTACCATTTTATATTTGAACACAGGCTTGTACTTTCACTGAAGTGCCTGTTATTGGCATTTGTTTGCTTTTAGAGATAAATGTGGGTACAGTATAAATATTCTGTTTGCTAGAGTTTATATTAAACTAATTCATTACTCAATTAAACATTGGGTAAAGCATTGAATATGTGTGTGTGTGTGTATGTATGTGTATGTGGGTGTGTATATATGTGTGTGTGTGTGTGTGTGTATATGTGTGTGTATATATATATATACATATATATATAAAATAGAGGGTATGCCTATATGTTTCACAGAAGTTCACATGAGAATTTATACCCATGCATGTGCACATGCATATTAATTTTTGATTTAGTATCAGCTATAAACATTCATCTTACTACATGCTTATAACAAATCCTCTGTTAGCTATGTTACAATAGCTTTCAATACATTTTAAAAATACATTGCAAAAAAAACTGAATGCAAACACCCAAGATCTTTTGAATTTGTATTAACTCATTTTTCTTGTTTTCTTCAGTTTGACAATTTGAATAAGTATAGGAGGCAGTACTGCTTGTTAAAAAAAAAAGGAAATATATTTTTATTGAAAAATTCCTTTTGTATGAGAGGCACCTGAGCTAAGAAACTAAGATCATTTAACCCCCAAAACTTTTCATTCCTAACAGATCTATAGCAATGGAGGAATCCACCCTCTACCATTTTTATACCTTATTTCTCTTTTTTAAAGGAAGGAACTATGTATGAAACAAGTGGTGATATTAATTTTAAAAAATCCTCCAGAGTGCAGTGGTGTCAACAGGAGTATAAGTAACAAAATATTTTATTTATTTCTAAATTTGAAGACCGTTTTTGTGTTTCGGGGTATAGACTTCATCTCTAGCATGAGAGATGCCTGTAACATTAATAAAAAGACATATTTCTGAATAACGTCTTGTGCCAGGATTTCCTTTACAAAACCATCTCCTTCACATTAAAAATATTTATAACAAGGAAAGTTAAAGCAAATTAAGCTCAAAGATAAAAGCCCCTTTTTACTAACACCTTGTGCTAGCACAGTTGCCAAAATGTATGCTAATCATGTCAATGTTGCTAGTTGAGCTGGCACAAAAATAAATGTTCCATTCATTAAAACCCTAATATCCATTTAACAGTTTGAGAACCAGTGAGTCCTCTTTGCCCAATTTAATGAAGAGATTGCTCTGATCTTTGCACTGCCAAATCCATTCTTAGACTACTGAGAAAATTGTTCATTAATTTGGATTGGGAAACTTAAAACCAACGTAGCAATTTCAGCTACAGGGGAAAAAACAATTTCCGTTACTTGAATCTTTAGAGTCATTCCCTGACCCTATTAAAAAAAAAAAAAAAAAAGTTTTCCTGGCAGTAACACTTCTATCAATGGTGGTTACAAAGGAAGAAAGAAAAATAGATCCTTTTAAAATAATTTTGTAGTATGAGTGTATTAAAAACAAAATCCAAATCCTTTGTATTTTGGGTGTTCTGCATGTGTTTTATGAAACCAACAAGCATGATCTTGCTATGAAATTATACCACCGAAGCCGTATTAGACACAGTATGAAGTTGCCTTGATTTCAGTAAGATAGTTCATAAGGCTTCTAATTCGTACTCCCAGAAAATGTTTCAGTTAACAACCATAAAAGGAGGAACTGTATGCAATCCTCTCCTGAGTCTCTGGAGACTCGGGTTCCAATCTCTCCTTGAAGCAGGGAAGATTCTGTGGGGTCCTGACCTTTGAAAGACAATGGAGAATGTGAGGAAAGACAGTACTGAACATGTGGCGCTTTTTGACCCAACATTGGGCAGCCTCAGCTCACAGAGGCCAGATAAATAGATGTCTGAGCCTTCCCTTCCGTCTAAAGTAGTTTCACACTCACTCCAAGAATGCAGCCAATTGCTGCAAAATACCATTTTGCTGACTTGTGCAATCTCTACCTAGCAATGTGCCTTTACAGTGTGAGTTGTAAATAGATATTTATTAAAATGTAGAAAATTGACAGTCATGCAAATAGGCTTAAAGCAGGAAAAACATGAATTAAAAAAATTGGTAATGCCTGAGGAGAGTTAGACCTGAGGAAAAAGACCCACTGTAATGTCTTTTCTAGTTGCTTCTGTATCTGGTAAGAAAAAAATCATACATATTTTTCAGATCAATATATACATATGTACACACATGTGCATACATATATGCACACAGTCCATAATAATTTTTCAAATGTCAGTCATTGTACAAAGTTGTTTTTAAAATGGTAGCATTTTTTTCTCTGATAAACCCCCAGATTGGGAATGTATTCCTTTAAGGGTGTAGGACAAAACTGGATGAACTTTTAAGACTTAGCCCACTAATGTCAAAAGGTAAGAATACTGCAATGATTAAAAAAAAATCAGGCATTCATTCCATTTATATTTTAGTTCTTTCATTTCATTTTATTTCAATCCAAGATAGTTAACATATAGTGTAATAATGATTTCAGGAATAGAATTTAGTGATTCATCACTTACATACAACACCCAGTGCTTATCCCAACAAGTGCTCTCTTTAATGCCCATCACCCATGCAGCCCATCCCCCCACCTAACACCCCTCTAGCAACCTTCAGTCTTATGGTTTGCCTCCTTCTCTGTTTATATCTTATTTTTCCTTCTCTTCCCCTATGTTCATCCGTTTTGTTTCTTAAATTCCACATATGAGTGAAATCATATGATATTTGCCTTTCCCAGATTTATTTCACTTCGCATAATACATTCTACTTCCATCCATGTTGTTGCAAATGGCAAGATTTAATTCTTCTTAATTGCCAAGAAATATTCCGTATACCATATCTTCTTTACCCATTCATCAGTCACTGGGCATTTGGGCTCTTTCCACAATTGGGCTATTGCGATAGCACTGCTATAAACATCGGGGTGTATGTGCCCCTTCAAATCAGCAATTTTGTATCCTTTGGATAAATAATTAGTAGTGCAACTGCTGGGTCGTAGGGCAGTTCTATTTTTAATTTTTTGAGGAACCTCCATACTGTTCTCCATAGTGGCTATACCAGTTTGCATTCTCACCAGCCGTGTAAATGGGTTCCCCTTTCTCTGCATCCTTGCCAACATCTGTTGCTTCTTGAGTTGTTCACTTTAGCCATCCCGACAGGTGTGAGGTGGTATCTCATTGTGCTTTTAATTACTAGGGATTTAACTGAGAACAAGACAGAGTCTTCGACCCTTGATAACTTTAGATTACAATGCAGAAGCCCATTAAGAAAACAATCAATCCCAAAACAACGTGTGGGATAAATGCCTACCCCCAGGATGCCAAATGGACAGCACCTACCCCAATCTTAGAAAGTACTGGCTTCCCAAAGGAGGCAGGTTTCTAATTTGGAGCTTCTCAACGTTTATTTATTTTTGGGACAGAGAGAGACAGAGCACGAACGGGCGAGGGGCAGAGAGAGAGGGAGACACAGAATCGGAAACAGGCTCCAGGCTCTGAGCCATCAGCCCAGAGCCTGACGCGGGGCTCGAACTCACGGACCGCGAGATCGTGACCTGGCTGAAGTCGGACGCTTAACCGACTGCGCCACCCAGGCGCCCCAAATTTGGAGCTTCTCAAAGGAGGTGATATCTAATTTAAAACCGTAGCCAGGGGAAGTTGGCAGAAACAGAAAGAAGGGTATTCAAGGAAGAGGGAATAATGTACAGGCACACAGGCAAAAGTGAGCATGTCATGATTGAAGACTTCTAGTATTTGTGGTTGAAGGGATGAAGAGAATCAACCCTGAGCTTGGAGCTGTCGGTGTACCTCAGGTAATGAAGGGGGCCTCTGTGTCACACTCGGAGCTTGCAATTTGATCCCAAAGGTATCTTTGGGTATCCCAAAGGGAACTTCGAAGATTTTGGTCAAGGAATTTATGTTTTAAAAAGATCATCTTGGGGCACCTGGGTGACTCAGTCGGTTAAGCATCCAACTATTGGTTTTGGCTCCGGACATGATGTCACAGTTTTGTGAGTTCAAGCCCCACATCAGGCTGTGTTCTGACAATGCAGAGCCTGCCTGGGATTCTCTCTCTGTGCCCCTTCCCCTCTTGTGTGCACTCTCTCTCTCTCTCTCTCTCTCTCTCTCTCTCTCTCTCTCAAAATAAATAAATAAACTTTATAAAAAGATCATTTGGCCATGTATAAAGCTTGTGTTGAAGATGATTCTAGAGACTCACTACAAGAGGTACTGACAATTTAAGGGAAAGATCAGGCCTTCAATCAGGGAATATAAAAGAGATATTCTATAATATGGAATACAGCCGGTAAGTAATTTTTAGCTGATAAAGCTATAAACTAAAGCTATAAACTTGTGATACCAATAGAAATGGAAATATACATGTGAGAGACCAGAAAATTCACAATTTTCAGGTTTTCAGGCCTATTTTACAAATTTGAAAAGGAGAGGGAACTCATTCACTAACCATTAAATGAGCAATGAAAGCATTGGAGCTATAACCCCCTTTCTAATGTTGGGTTTTATGACACAGATGGAATTATAAAGGCACTAATATACCCAGTTTATTTCGTATTGATGACTGTCAATTCTATTCAATTTAACAAACATCGTGGGCCCATGTGGTAGATATCCCAACAAGAAGCTGACCTCATGACGAATATTTTATCTATTTGCTTGTAGTTGCCCTAAACATCTCCAGAGGCGGAAGAGTCATGTCAAAAATTTATGGAAAAAGACAACAAAATGTCAAATGGACAAATAAGACGCAAATATAATTTCATGTGTTGTGTGCGTATCAAGAAACAGTGAAATGTCTCTTGCAGGCAATTCTGAACAAGATCCAGAAACGAGGAGCCTGTGAAATGGGTACCTAGGGTGAAGAAGTACATAGGTCTTGAGGTTTAACATCATTTTTGGATGAAAGAAGTCATATAACATATCTTATGCCTCAGTTTATCTTGTGTAAGTGATTAATTTACTAGTATCTAGTGCTCACTGGTGGGAGTTTCAAACCCTGGCTCAATAAACACAGAGCAGATGTTAAAACAGTATTGTATGCAGTCCTAGATTCAAGAAAAGTCACTGTCCTGTCTTCCAAAAAGTTGTCCTCCTAAGACTCGTCGGCATGGAAATTATGAACTTGCTCTATCTCATAGTGAAATTTTGAAAATAAATGAATTTGTGTAAAATATTTCACACAAGTGAAGTGCTCCTCAAAAAGTAACTATTATTACTGCTATTGGAATTAACTAATGTGTTGTGAAGCTGTCTTAGCAGTTTGTCCACTCATTCTTCCATTGGATTCATTGAATCAGCATTTTTATTTTACAACAAAAATCCATAAATTGATAATGTTTTAGATTGAAGGCCCATATACTCAAAGCAATCTACTATACTTATCCATTTCTTAAGCCCTCTGACTTTTTTTCCCCTTTTATCTTACAATGAGTTCATATGTTCTTTTTCATTTGGAAATCTCATGAGGGACCAGGGCTTTGATTCAAATGGTCAGACCATGGAACTTTAGAGATACTTTCATTCAACCCTCTGATTTTACAGT